AAAAAGCGTTTTATCACCTCGAGAGGTTCACTCGTAAGTGAAAATATTTTTACAACACCATGAACCAGATTTCGCTCGAAGGAAGCATTTTCAAGGAAACTGTGGGTAACGAAAGTTGTTTAGAATCAGATTCTCTGGAATATGAATGAAGGATTTTTTACAATTCGAAATTTGGTTCAAGGTGTTTTTAAAAATACTTCTTGCTCTAAAATGTCATCGGGCGGGTCAAAGCGGAATAACTCAGTCAAAACATGATCGAATTTTTTGTAGATACATCTTGATGTCCACCGTCGATTGACATCAAAACAGAGGTTATACGTAGAAATTTGAAAATTTTATTAAACGTATCAGTGGCGGGGAGCTCCCAAAATTGTCGATGCCTGCCGCCCAAAACCCTAATTATCCATCCGCGGCGGCAGTGATAGAGGCGCGGTGCACAGATCTAGTTGTGTTGGTGTGTATGTGTACACGTTTTGTTTTAGTACTTTTTCACGTTAAGAAAGCATATTAAAAAAATCACTCGGTCAGCAAGTATATTATGTCGACACAAAGTTCAATCTACAGGTTAGTAAATTTGCTTTGCTATACAATCTCTTCTCCTGACTATGAGACGAGAAGAGTCAGATCAGGCGAATTTGTGCTAGGATCAAATCAGACTCTGGAATTGATCTGTGAAAGGTATCGACCGAGAGATATTGGGAGCTAACATTACTCTTGATTCATTTTATCCAAATTAGTTTGAGTTTTATATTTGCAAACACTACTTTTCTCAAAAATCGGCTTGTTTTTTTATTTCATTCTAAACTTTTTACTTACTATTGTATCAAGAGATAGATTGAGTATTTCTGCATTCCATTTCCACTATTTAAAAAATGCAATAGTGATGTTAATGTTTTCTCGTGAACTGTACAGGGTTATGGTAAAAACTGACAATCCGTGTATATAGGGGCAAACAATCTTACTGTAAGATCTTATAAGAGTTCTGTACAATTTCGTAAGATTCTTGTATAATTTTTATAAGATTGTATAAGATGAATCTGTTTCCATGATTTTCCGTAAGATTTTACAAGATGTCGTAAGATCTTGATCTAATTTTTTGACCTGGGTGCTTCTTTCAGATCTAACTATTATCCATTTCAAAAACGGTGCCTGTGAGTAGTTTTTGAATAACTCTTGATAGGAATGAGATAGAGACCTGCGGTTTTAACCATCATGTTGCTAAGGTCTTAAGACATGTTTTTTAAGCAAAAACTTGTTTCAAAATTTTCCGAAAGTCCGATTTTCCAGCGAATCTTTAGAAAACCAGCTCTGTTCCCAGAAAACTAACATATAAAGTTAGTCATTTTTTTGCATGTGTAGGAAGTCCGGACGGTATTACACAAAATAAGTCAAAAAATGTCTCCGCTTTCCAGCCATCATCGCTTGGATAGGGCTCGCTTTTCCCGAGCGTGTGCCGATCTCCGAACAGACATGTCTGGGAACTTCAAAATGCCATGAAACATAAGTAATCGACTACGCTGAGCATAGTGACAACATTTGTTTTCGTGTAGAAATGAAAATAACTCGCCCGAAGCATTTTGTGAAAAATACAAAAATGCCTCTGGTGAAGTTATTTTCTGCTCGGAGAGAGACACGCGCTCGGGGAAAGCGATCCCTGTCCGAGCAACGATAGCTGGAGAGTTGGGACTTTTTTTGACTTATTTTGTAGAGTAACGTTCGGACTTCCTATGCATACGAAAAAATGACTAACTTTGTATGTTAGTTTTCTGAGAACAGAGCTGGTTTTCCAAAGATTCGCTGGAAAATCGGACTTTCGGAAAATTCTGAAACAAGCTTTTGCTTACAAAAACATGTCCTAAGATCTTAGCAACATGATGATGAAAACCGCAGGCCTATATCTCATTCCTATCAAAAATTATTCAAAAAATATCTACAGACACCGTTTTTTGAAATGGATAGTAGTCGTACTGGTTGTAGTGGAAAATGATATTTTATAGAACACTCCAAGTGCTAACTCAACTGGCTGGTAAAAGTACAATGTTTTTACAAAAATTCGGATTTATTCAGTCTTAACACTAAGCAATGAGCAATTCAGTTAATTCCGTTCCCGTCGTAGTTTTACGTTTAGAATGTGTGGGTCTCCGCTGACAGACTTGTCCTCTTTTCTCAATGTTATATTTAGATAGAGCATGAAAAATTAAATTGATTAATGTACTCAATTTATTACCCCAATATTTAATTATTGGTTAGTGAGCTAGAGAATAACTTTTGTAGTCTATCGACTTTTTTTATACAATACAAGTTAACAAATATTTATAGATAACTTGAGATAGATCAAGGGCATCAAAAACTGCACGGATTCAAATATCAGAATTTCATGTTGATTCTAAACATGTGGATTACAACGAAAAATATTAGCCAGAGCCTATCGTCCGCAGTCCTTTTCATGTTAATTTGGCATCTAACAATCTCAAGTTTCCTTATGAGAAAGAAGTTTTGAGACACTGCGGCCTTCAGGTAGAAGTTCAGAATGTTTTGACGCTTACACGAGCGAGCCTAAAACTTTTCCGGAAACGATGACATTTCAGTTTCCCTTTCAACCATATGACTTCAGGGTAGAGATGTGCACGGGTACCATTTTCGTGCCCGCACCCGACCCGAAATTTTTTTTTCGGCCCGTACCCGACTCATGCCTAAAACTTTTCTCCGTTTTGTTTTCCAGCTAAAAACTTTTGTTTTTCGGCTGAAGATGTCGAATTGTCATTACGTTCTCAATTCTTTCTAAACTTTTATGTACTTTAGCTAAAACTAATGTATTTTTTCACTAAGAGATTTTCCGCTAGAATCTTCCGGTTTTCGAGTAGATTAAAAAAAATAAAATTTAACTGCTCTATCCGTACCCGTATCCAACCTTCGCGTCGGATCGGGTTGCACATCTCTACTTCAGGGATACATTCAAGAATTTTCCTACATTATCTCCAGTTCACCGGAAAAATGATATGAAAAGGTTTTTCTACGGAAAGTTTTATTTTTCGATAAAACAAAATAATGACTGAAAATCTATTAAAGTTTTTAGTGGTGAGAAGTTCACGTTCATGGGTTCTGATACATCTCATACATGTGTTTAGTAGTGACTGAACAAAGTTAGTCTCTCAATGATATTTCAACTTCTTCATAAAGATTCAACTATTCTAGATGCTCAATGGCAACATTATTTGTTCTATATGTATGGTTCTAAACAAGAATGGAAATATAGTCGATTCTCCATTTATTTTTCCTACTTTCTTCGTCAAAAGACATTTGAACATCTTGTTTCACATGTTTATGAATATATTCTTCTATGTGAAAAAGAGGTTTATTTGGATGGAGTGAAATTTGTTCTAATTGAACAAGTTCTTCTTCAAATAAGTGAATTCCTAGGTGTTGATCGTATCTAAAGATTACTCCATTCTCATTTTAGATTGATGTTTATGTCAGCTTGGCCTAATGGTTATGTTCTTCGTCACGTACTTCACAGGTACTGTGTTCAAACATCGGCGCTGGCAAAGTTATGTAATAACCTTGGGCAAATTACATATGTTTTAGTGTTTCGGATCACCCGTCTGACAGCATACTCACGACGTTGTGACGTACAATACAGTTTCTCCGGCTAGTCCTCGTGGCTTTCCGGAAAGCTAGTACATGGTTAAGTGAAGTGTGTATGAGGAGGGGACCTCAAGTAATTAGATGAAAGAACTCTGTGTCAGGCTAACCTTCTGACCTGAGCTGCAATTGATGACTAGAGATATTCGAAGAACCGGCACCGGGCTTCTCTTGTTTTCGGTTCTTCATCGGGAACCGGAACCGCGATTTGTAAACGGTTCCTTTTTTTGGAACCGAGACTTTTTTAACCATAGTTAGTTAATAATACTAATACCGAAAGGGTGTATGGTGAAGATCATAAAAATATGGTTATGTTAATTTTAACCATAGATACTAGTTTTATTTCGAGAAAGCTACATTTAGCGTTCATAAGGTATACTTGTGCGTAACTTCTTTTACATGAGATCTTCTATACATGGCAAACCCATCGACTCTTCTTAGATAAGAGATAAAGCCAATATTCGAGAAAATGAGCTAACTGTTAACTGAATGGTTTGTTCGGTCTTAAAACTGTTAAGATTAGACGACGATAGAAAAGTACAAAATTGAAAGAGAAAGAACGAGTGTGAACGGACGATCAAATTTATATTTCTTTATGAAGTGCAAAAGGACGGGCGAAACACTAATTCGTTGTTTTCTCTTCTGTCTTATCTTTCTGTCTTGCCTTTCTTTTAACAAAATGAAAACACACTATTGACAAAGCTGCAAAAAGATATATTTGCCTGTCATTAATTAAAAGAATCCTTTCGTTTAGTATAAAATGAATTTTATTTTGTTGAATTGTTATTGCCTGAAAAATTCTTCTTCTGTTCTAAGCTGAGAACCGCGGTTCTTTTCGGTTCGGTTCTAACTCGAGAACTGGAACCGGCATTTTAGTTCCGGAATCGAGAACCGAACATCTCTATTGATGACTAATAACGAAATGGATGACCATTTCAGACGCTTGTGAACTACAGGAAATTTATCGGGCTACTGAAACTACCACGGAAGCACCCAACACTGATAACAATCATCACAAGGTGGAATATTTCTCCTTCAGATTGATGAGCCTTGTTATACAAGTCAATATAAACTTTTATTTTTAAACAGTTTTGCTTGTTTTATTATATTCTACAATAGTAACACAAACAGTCATGCTCGACTATAATAAATTAAACAAAAGAAAAATTTATCAAAAACAAAATAATAAATTTTTATATGTATATACAATGCATTCTTGTTCTCAGTCATTCATTCATTTTCTTCATATAACATCCGATAGAAACAGTAATCATTTAGATTCTTGATGTTTCTATCATCATTTCAAATATGAATATAGAATGAAAAGTTTAGATTAGATGCTATGAAATCTACGAAGATCAGGTAACACGAATACGAGCTGCATTAGATGGTGGACGTGATTCATATAAATTTGGTTTTAAACAGGCACCAGTATAACCTGTAAATGAAATAAATGAGATGATATAAAAGATAGAAAGAAGAAGAAATCTTACATTTTTCTGTTGGATCAGTTATTGCCTGTGCTTGTTCTCCGCCCTGTGTTCGTTCATCTGGTTTCTGTAGTTCAATGTCATCTTTATCTTTTCCATCATATGGATATTTTAGTTCTTCAAGTAAATTTCTCACTTCACTATAATCACCCTTTTCGGCTTGTTCAATTGCACGTTGAGCCAGATAATTACGCAAAACAATTCTAGACGATAGAAAATATAGAAATCGAAACTATTGATGAATAGAAAAAAAAAACGTACCTTGGATTATTCTCTCTCATAATTTGTAATCGTTTCTTGTTTAATTGAGCAATATCTGTACTATTACCGTCAATTTCTTTTTTAAGACGTTCTACATATAAATCAAGCCATTGTTGCCACTGTTTCCAATCATCATCATGTTTCTGAGATGATGTCATTTTCTATAAATAAACAGAATGCATTATCTTTTTCGTCTTTGAATCTCATATTTACTAGCGAAAAAGAAAAATACTGAATCCCAAGTGTATTCTTCATTAAAGCAAAAAATTTCATTTGTCATCCTTTGGCTGTGATTTAAATTTTTTCTACTACCATCAACTCAATATGAAGATTGTACAGAGTCATGGATTATGTTTAATTGTCCAAGTTTAAAGAGAAAATTTATAGAAATCTTTTACCGAAGAAAAATTCAAAATTCTCGTAAAAATCCAACTTTCATGAAAAATCTATTTAAACTAACAAATCTTACTCAGAACCCATCGAAATTACTCAAAAATTTCAGAGTGCATTCAAATTCTCAAGTGTTAAATGAGATTCTAGAATTCTAAATAGACAAGGAAAAGAGATTTCGTTTGAAATTTACCGGAACTCACTCAAAATGAAAAGCATTACTAATTGTTTTTTTTTAATTTTTTCTTTACTTGTTGCTTTCTTCTATTATTAAGTAAAAACATGCAAAAGCAAGTATTTTTTCATACAATTTTGATTCTTAGCAATTGTTCTTAAACTTTCTACAGAAACAAATATCTCAAAAAAATTCCAATGATTTGTTTCAAAGATCTTCCCTCCATCAAAAATATTCAAAATGGTTTTATTTACGGAAACAAAGCATGAGGTTTGAACTATTGAATGTCAAAAAGATCAGGTATTTAACACTTTTCCATCAGAAGATCTTCAAAAAATAATCGAGTGCATTCTATTTTGAAAGACATAGTAAGTAATGCTGTAAAAGAAAGAATTTTATCTCATAAACCCTAGGATCAGATAGTCGCCTTTTTTCCAACAACAAACGATGCTAAAGCTATAAGATGTGAATCTGAACTATGGCTAAACTATTCCAAATAAATTTTTTACTTCATAACATTAGAAAATTTGGTGCTCGTTCCACACTGAACTAAATTAGATAAAAATCGGGTAACAAGTGCAAAATTTCTCGATAAATCCGACAGCGGATCCTTTTAATTTCACTTTAACTTCTTCTCCATGAGAAAAATAAAATTTTGGCAAAAATCAAGTAGATTATGTCGACACAAGAGAAGAAGTTAGAATGAAATTAAAAGGAGCCCGCTGTCGAATTCATCAAGAAATAGAAATAACATCATGATTGTACTAGAATCAAAGCTTCGAAACGATCTTTCTGGTTTCTAGCTGAAGAGCTAGCTTTTTGTATACGAACTTATTTTAGAATATGTATCTGTCGCCCAAATTTTATCTAATTTAGTTCAGTGCGAAGCGAGCATTAAATTTTCTAACGAAATTATGAGAAACGCTGCTCTAGTGAAACTTCTTGCACCCAAGATCTTGGAAAAAGCACTAAGAAGTCAAGATCTTGAGTGAAACTTTTTCTTTACATTTTGTTTTTATTTCTGACGGCTGTCAGCCCCGTCGTATAGCCCTCAGATATACGACCATATAAAATCATAGGTTCTTCCTTTTTTCTGATCCTATCCAAAATGTTCTCATTTTCTCCTGGACCTAACCTAGTGAAACTTCTTGGGTTAAGAAATATCACAAGATCTTAGAAAACACACACAGAAGTCAAGATCTTGGATTCTATCACGATATTGGGAACAGAAATTTGAAGATCTTCAGTGAATCTACTCAAGACAGTGGCGGGCCGAGACCCAAAAGTTTGGTATGGTAATAAGTCTGGAAAAGTTTTTGCTTGCAAAAAAATGCTCTGTTTAAGACGTTTTTTTTTGCTAGTCTTGAACGAGTTTCAATTGCCATACAAATTTTTATTGGTATGGCAATTGCCCCAACTGCCCC